GACTTTCATGTTTAAATCCCTAATACCAACATCATCGGAAGCCAACAGGAAGCACCTCAGTAGAGTTCAATGGGTTTAAAATAACCCAACCTCACAAAGAGTCCATTTGATTAAGCTGTGGATGCTGAGGACTGGTGCTGTCAAAATTTTCCGGGATGATGGAAGGGTTCTCTACCTGTGTGTCCCATGCAACTTCTGGCCATGGGTCCATGCTCGGCACTTAAGACTCACCTGGTGCAACTGAGGACTGAATTTTTCATTTTAATTCATTTCAGTTTCACAGTAAACAGCTCACAGGACCAGCAGGCACCAACTCAGCTTCAGGTCACTCCTCTGTGAGCCCTGAGCTGTAGCTGTAGGCCACGCATAGGAGATGCAGAGGAAGGCCCGAGGTCTGCTAGATCAGAACCCCCAGGCTGTGGGCAGTGACAGATGCCACCGCCACCCAGTTACAGTGGCAGGTGGTCAGAGCTACATGTAGGGACAACGGCTCGAGTTCCAGTCCTGCAAAGTGAGACCTCCCCACCTGTGCCACAGCTGGCCTAAGGAATCGTGCAGGGGGTTTCCTGGTTCCTGCTGCCACCCACGTGAGTGAGGGAGGGAGATGCTGTTCCCAAGTGTCCCGTGCTTTAAGTGACTCCATCAGGGACTGCACAGTGCCACACAGCACTCACCAGAAGCGGATCAGGAACCATGTACAGGGTAGGCTATGTAAATCCCACTCCTTTTCCCTCATCCACTGCCTCTGATTTTGCTTCACGGCTCACCAGGGTGTCCAACCCAACCTCCAGCCAGACATGCCTGTGCCAGAATTAAAAAATACTTCTAAATACAGGAAGCTTTGCTACTTATATACACTAATTATATTGCACAGTCTACATTCATCCCAAGACAAGTGCTCTTCCCTCAGGGGGCCTAGAAGTTTGGAAGACAAGAAGTAGGCCTGAAACAGAAGCTGCAGGTTTTGCTCCCTTTCAGGTCTTCCTGCCTGTGTGATGGTCAGGCTTCCTGGCCATGTGTCAGGGGGTCAGGCTGCCGAGGTACAGCTGTGTCTTTCCTGTCAACAGTTAGGGATCGGGCAGGAGAGAAAGAGAAGAGAGGAGAGGAGAGGAGAGGAGAGGAGAGGAGAGGAGAGGAGAGGAGAGGAGAGGAGAGGAGAGGAGAGGAGAGGAGAGGAGAGGAGAAAGGTAAACAGCAGGAGATGGGAATGGCCGCACTTCTGTGTCCCCTGTGGTTATGAAAGATAAGACAAAGGGACAGATTTGAGATGCTGGAGCCTTTCTCAGCAGAGTGTAGAGCTAGCCAGGAGGGAGCTAGGTTTTATTATCTTTATATCTTTGCTTTTGTGACAAAACAGAACAAACGAAAAAAATCATTTTCTATGTAACCTCCCAATTAACGGTGAACCCACATTAATTTTTTTGTCTATTTTATTTTTAATTTTTTTTTTCTGACACAGGATCCGGCGATGAATTCCAGGCTGGCCTTGAATGCTGTATAGCCCAGGGTGGCTTTGAACTCACAGCAATCATCCTGCCTCGACTTCCTGAGTGCTAGGATTACAGGTATAAAGCCCACACTAATTTAATTTTCATTTTAAATTAATTTAATCTTTATCAGACCCCCCTACCCACACTTACCCCACTATGTTAGGGTTACAGTGCAAAAACAAACATATTTCCCAAAAACTGACAAAATCCTGACAATTTGAGCATTTCCATCTTGCTGACTGAACCCAATAACCAATCCATAGGTAGATTTTTGTACAGAAAAATCCTGAAGTGACTTGCAACTCCCATTGCTGAAACAGACTGCCCTAAATCAAACCACAGACTCGCTGTGACCTCGGGAGGAGGCCAGGTGTCTGGTTCTTCACCCCTGACACAGAAGCAAACCCTTATCTATGTTTCAAAACCCAGCACGACAAGAAAGCAGGACAGCAGTTCTGCACACCTCAGCTTTAGGGAGTGTGGCCCACAGCAGATGGAGAGGGCTGGGGAAGCCTAGTGACAAGAGCTCCTTGCAGGTGGGAAAAAACAGCCACCAATGTCAACTCCGAGTAGTAATCAGGAGCACACCTCCCGCAGGTGGGAGAAGGGCCACAAGGTTTTGCAGGATCTCAAAGGGAACAGAGCCTCTGTCCCCACCTGACCTCATGAACACAGTTCAGGGCGGCAGAGGAGAAGCAGGAAATGCTCTCTTTATCTGGGACAGCCCACTGCCAAGACAGTGTCGTCAGATCGGCACACATTGTTCCCAGGTCTCGGCGCACCTGGCATGGCTCTCACCAGACACAACTTCTCTTTGTCACAGGATTTTACCTGTGGGACCTCTGAGGTTAGCAACTGAAAGGAAAGGGCTGGCTTAGAAAACCAGCCTCAGGATAAACACCCTGCAACAAAAGCTGGGGCAAAGGCTGATCTACTGGGTGACAAGGTGACACCTACATGGGCGTGAGGTGGCAGTGCTGTCTACAGCAGGGACAGCTGGGGCTTGCGGGCTTTGTCAGCCCCACCTCTTTATGAAATAAAACGCTGTCTTTTTTTTTTGAGACAGCGTGTCACTGTGTAGTTCAAGCTGGCCTTGAACTCACTATGGAGTGCAGGCTGGCCTCAAACTTGCAGTGACCCACCTGCCTCAATCTCCCAAGTGCCAGGATTACAAATATGCACCACCACGCCCAGCCTAGGGCCCTGTCATAAGGACAAAGTCATTCACACGGTGACAACAGCTGTAAAATGCCTAAATTCATGGCCTTACATTGCTGTCCGGTGTTGGACCAGTTTTTTCTTCTATACATGCTGTGTGCCCACAGATTTTGAAAACAACACTGCTAGAGTTTATAAATGTAGCAGTCTAATGTATAAACACCACTACTGGAAGGAAAGAAAATAAACAATGATAGGATAATTCCAAGTTTACATAATCCAGCTGGATATTCACACTGTTCCACTAACTAGGTGAATCCAGAGCAAATTTAGCACCTAGACCGTCTCCTTGCAGGGCATCAGGTCTGAGACTGGGTCCTGTCCTCAGGGAAATGTGTGCTTTGCATCCAGCCTTATGAGGTAGACAGACACTCTGGATAAAATATGGACAGCAAAGGACTCTGCACATGCTAAATTTATTCAGGTTGGAAACTACATCATGATTTTTCATAAGACTACTTTATTGTTAGGAAATATATAATGAAGTATTGCAGGGTAAGGGCATGAAATTACTTGGAAAAATTATTCTGACTATATATGCATATATTTCTTTCTATATATGTGTGTATGCATTACATGATAAACTAATCTACATATGTATTTTATTGCACATAATGTAGACATGGTTTTAGAGAAAGAGCAAACAATAAACAAACAGCAGTGTGTACAGGTCAATCCAGCCCCAGGCAGGCAGGCACCCTTTGCACTAAACATTTTTTATAAGTTTGGAATTAGGTGCAAACAAAATGTCCTTGTTCTTAATTAAAAAGAGCAAACAAAGGACTGATGCTTTTTCCAGCCAGGATCCAGGGAGGAGCCCTCTCGTCACATCTGTCCTGGCTCCGGACCGGGGAGGACGCTCACTTCCAACTGACCATCCCAAGGCTGTGACCACTCACACTCACACGCAAGAGAAGCAACAAGTGCATGAATGTGCTTTCTCCTTTCTCCCCACATTTTGTACTGCGACAGTGGCAAGTGCCTATTGTTGAAAATTTAAGGAAATTATAGAAAAACAATTCTAAAAACAACTCTACTCATAAATCCAACCACACTGAAAAAAAAAATCATCTTTCTGGTACATTTCCTTTCAGTCTTTATGGCTTTTGTAGAACTAGGATTATGTTAGATGAACTATGTAACTTATTTAGCTTGGTTTCTTTGTTTACCTAATGTAAATATTTTCCCATGATTTACGGAAAAAGAAACTTCATACAGTGTTTAAAGTCAACATAATATTCCATTACTTATCTCCCTAAAACTGACCCTGTGGTTATTTGTAATGTTTATTTTACCTAAATCTGAGTTAAAAGTTTAAGACCTTTGTACTTGTATCTTTTTTCCACAATACTTCTGCTTATATACTTTCATGTAGGATTCACAAAGACAGAACCAATGGACCGAGTGATACGAGCATTGCAAAACCCAACACCAGAGACCAAGCTGCTTTTTAGGAAAGTAGGTTCCCAGTTCCGTCTTTAGGTGGAATGGACACCAGGATGGGCATACCAGAGCTGGGCTGGACTTCCACTTAGAATGCAAAGAAAAGGAACCTCCTGCCACTGTAAGAAAACTGCGGTCTTCAAGTGACATTTTGCTCTGGGACAAATCCTAGAAGCTATTTTTGCCCTCCAAAGAGGAAAGACCGAAATATTCCAGCCTGTACCAACATATACTCAAAAAAGGGATGCAGGGCCCAAGCCCTGATGGTGACCAGCACTTCAGGTCATGGATGTCCATTGCCCACAAGACACACCCTTCCCCCTCCGACTCCTGCTAAGGAGGAGACCCTCAACATTTAAGCGAGACAGACACATGAAGCGGAAGAGCACGTTCAGATTCAAAACTCACAACAAGGGCAACTGGCAACAAGCTGGGTTTTGGCCCCTCTCCTTTCCCAGTAGCCCAGTGGTGTGACACAGGGAAAGAAAGGGCCGTGTGGTCAGCGAGGAGCTGTCCAGCCCCACCTGGCCTCCCTAACCAGCTTCTCCCTGAACTCAGTTTCCTCACTGGTTAATTGACAGGTCAGGGAGAGTCCCTGTAGGTAACTCTCAGGATTCTGCACCCTTGTCTGCCTCCTCTGTTGGAGGAAATAGAAGATCCGGGTACCGGCTCTGCATGCATGAATTCTAATGCGATGGTCAGACTCATTTCCACCACTCAAGCAGACCAGGTAGCAGCAGCAGCAGCAGCCCAGAAATCCGTACTCTGTGTATGCGCCACTTGTGGGCCACCAGGACTGGGGGAGGGAAGTGGGAGCCGTGGACAAGGAGAAAAGGGAGGGACACTCACCGTGGCCGTTGCAGTAGTAGATCCACTTCTCTCTATTCGGGGCCGGGGCCAGGGACTTCTTCAGCCCCGCCTTCTCCACAATGGTGCTGGGGTCCTGCCGGGGCCCCTTTTTCAGCGTCCGGGAGCTCTTCCGGACGCTGCACACCACGATGACCACCAACACCAGCAGCAGGAAGAGCACGATCATCCAGGGCAGGTGCTCGTTGATGTCGAAGTGCTTGTGCGGGCTCTGCCTCGGGTGGCCCCGCTTGGCGCCCTTGGCGGGAGTGCTGGACCTCTCGCTGCCCGTGGCCTCCATGGACGGCAGCAGCTTCAGGATGTGTCTGTGGGGGGCGTCCTGCTGCCGGCTGACCACGCGGAGGCTCGGGAGGGTCTTGTTCACACCTTGGTCCCCTCCTGCCGAGCTCGTGTTGTCAGGGACTGTCCCTTCCTGGATGCCACTCGGTACCTTTGGTCTAACAGAGGCAGAAGAGTTGGGTTCTGTTGAGTTCATGCCTAGAAAAAAGAGGAAGGATGGGGGAAGAGCTTTTCCATATTTGGGGATCTACATATTCCTTCCTCTCCCTGGTCATCTCCAAATGAGGCCAGATAATCAAAACAGGAATTAGCGATCCAGGGAGATGAATTCATTGTATGGTTCCATCAAGCCTCGCAGGGCACAAGCTGAACAGCTAAACTGACTTTCCTGTACCAAAAGCAAGGCATCCTGTGGGACCCTCCACTCAAGCTTCCGGCAACTTCTCGTGTTGGTCACATACCGAGTGGACAGAGGGGACTCTAGTCCACTCTCAATGGTGCCCATTGTTCAGAGAGCTAGCTTAAATTTAACTGCTTGGCTCATTCTCCTCCCTCTCTCACCCTGAAACCATTTCACGATGTAAGGGTGAAACAGCATATGACTAAGATGAAGAAAACAGAGCTCAGGCACAAACCCAAGTTTGACAAGTGAAAGGTTGGATGAAGAGGTCAGCAGGACTTTCCCAACAGCTGGTTTCCAACAGACTAAGCAAGCCCGGGGATGGCAGCTCAGTGGACTTCTTTCAGAGAACCTTCCACAAGCTGTCTTCATTAAGGAAAGGAAACATGAGTGATGTCCAGGCCCCAGGGAAGAACCCGGCCTGTGTCAGCCCCTAGGAAATCGGGTGGCCCCTGGAACTCTGTAAGCCTGTTTCTTCATTTCAAGATGGCGGGTAGGAGTGGACTCAACCCACACACGGGGTTCTGAAGGCACACACAGGATGCAGGAAGCACAGCTCCTCGTGTGGGCTAGCATCTCACGAAAATCGCAAGGATTTGAAAATAGACTAAATTTGACATTCTTCCCAAGGTTCAAATGGAACCTCAGGAAAACTGAGATAAAGGGCATGAAGTCAAGATGACTGGAAAAGACACCAGGTAGTTCTTTTCCAGGTGTGAATGCTCGTTAATGCTGGTCACTGTTGCTCTCTCTCGGTCTGATAAGAATGCACTTGTGTCCTGGTGCTTCTAATTCTCATTCTCTCCCTTTGCCTGACCCAGGACTCTACACGTTCTCTTTCCCTCTACTTCTTTCCTTTCAGCTGTGTCCACTCAGACTTGGTCCTGTATTGGAAAATTAATCTCAAAGGGACCTTAACCACTGAACTCCCTCATTTACTTGGTCAGTTTGAACCAAGACCTGAAGAGCTTAAATGACTCATAAGGTCACTGGCTGTCCTTATCCTCTCAGTTCTTATTTTTTCACTTGATGTAACCTCATTTTTAAATATCTGATCTTTCTTAATAGAAAACTTTGGACTCTAGATATTTCTGATACATCTGAAGAAGCCAGATTTAATTAGCCATGAAATGAAGGCCCTTTCCCCAAGGGCTGACTTTGGGGTGTGCAAAATGAAGACGACATTGTTGGCATCTCTACTGGGCTCCAAACCTCTCTTAAATAAAGAATGCACAAGCTAAATTACCTTCAGGGACATAGGTGGAGAAAGGGACCTCCTGGGATTCCATGGGATTGAAGAGTGAAGAGATGGTGGTGTCAGGGGAGGCCAGGGTGGTGCTAGAGGGAGACGGGTGGGGGCCACAGACATTGTCCGTCTCCCTGGTCCCTGGTGTAACCACCACCAGGTTGTGGCTCAGGCAGTCTGTGTACGCCTTGCACTTCAGCACACTGGAAGGCACATCGGAGAAGGTGCCCCGCGCACACTGCTTGCACCGGACGTCCTCGTTCTCCGTCCCTTTCTTCCGCACCCCCCACCCCACAGGACACACGGTGTGGGGGGCGCAGGTGGCATTGAATTGGAACATGCCAGGTGGGCAGGTGCACTCCCGGTCGGTCAAGGCAGAGCATGGCAGTTTCTCGACCATCAGCCCTGGGCACGGCTGGCTACAGTCATGGCATTTCTCAATGCCGTTTTCATGCCTGGTGAAGGTTCCCGCCGGGCAGCTGCTGCACACACGCAGGCTTGTGTTGGTACAGTGCTCCGAGACATAGGTCCCTGCTGGGCATTTGTCGCATGTCAGCTCCTGGCTGGTGACACGGTCCACGTGGCGGTATGTACCAACGAGGCCTGCTACCTTCTGTGCCGGCTGAGCCCAGGAGGTGCAAAGGAACCCTAGCTGAAAAACATAGGGTGGGAAAGACAGAAACAATTTGTCACACAGGTACAAAGGAAAAGAACACACCCACCAGGCCATCACCTTAAAGGTCAAACCAGGGTAAGGCCAGGGATATAGCTCAGTGGCATAAGCACCTGCCTAGCAAGCACAAGGTCCTGAGTTCAGTTCTCATTAAAAAAAAAAAAGGTCAGGCCAGGATGGCATTGTGTGGGCTCAGGGCAGCCGCAGCAAAAACAAATAGACACTGAGCTTGTAGCTTCCCATGGTTGCTCTGGGCAGCTGGGATCAGAGTTTGACCTCGGTCTCAGCTACCTATTCTGCACCTGTAAGCACAGCCAACAACACTTCTCAAACCAAGAATTAAACCAAGAACTTGGAAGCACTTTGAAGATGGTATTGAAATTGCTCTAGAGAATCGAGGGTGGAGTTCACGGTACAGTGCTTGCCCAGCGTGCACGAGGTCTGGGCTTCATCCCAACAACACACACATGAAAGATGCTGTGGAGAAGTCAAAGCCTAAAGAAGACAAGAACTGAGTGTTGTCTTCTATTTCCCACCCCCACACCCCACTGGGATGGGGACATACACATTCAAGCTGCCACAGACATCACCCCACACTGTCTACACCTGGGCTAGATCGACAGCCATAGCATGATTCTTTCTCAAAGCTTTCGTCTATGTGAAACTAAGCTCCAAGCTCCTTTTTCCTCTTTCTTCCTTTCCTTTTTTTTTTTCAGTCCAAAACAGAAGCAGGCTCTGGACATGTGCTTTAAACACCAGAGCTGATGCTTCCCAATTCACACTGTGTGCTCAGTCTTTGAAGGCCGCAGCTGGTAAAGCCTGGGCCTGCAGCCCACAAGGCCAGCACAAGCTGGGTCCCCAAGGGGTACTCAACAGACACAGAACATGTCATTCGATGTTCATTCACAGAACAGAAACTCCACCCAGCAGAGCAGGACTTTCCACTGGCTTCTAGGAGGAAAACTTGGGAGAAAGCAGATTACATTTGCTGCAGTAAATTCTGAAGTCCTACTGAGAAGCAGAGAAATATGAATACAAAAGAAAACTTCCTGCAGTGATAAAGACTGAGGTTCCAACAGCCTTCTGTTCTCTGTCCTTTCTGGAAGAGAAAGTTTGCAACAGACTAACAGTTGCCTCTGCCTACCTTCTGCCCAACAGGACAAATTTCCTCTAAATTTAGGTGCTGAACCAGGAACTGAGAGAGCAAAGCAAGGATTTTCCCACAGTGGTAAGTTCCTTAGCTCAGGATTCATCCCCCTCACCCCCCAGAATGTGACTATCAGAACCAAAACTTTCCCTTGACGTCTCTTATCTTGGCCTAGAGCTTGCTCAATAAATGACCATAACTCGTTTTCAGCATATAACATTTGTTTGGTTTTTTTTTTTAATGGAAGACCAAAAAATTTAAAATGCCAGTGGGGCTGACTTTCTTGGGAGGGAGGCTGAGGGTTAACCTCACCGTGGAGCACACAGAGAAAGCACACCTGATGCACAGTCATGAACTCCGAGATGCCTTCCCTTTCTCTCTGGCTCCATCTTTCCTGGTTTTTGTTTATTTGTCCTTCTTTTTTGCAAAATCAGCCTCAGCCCCTCTGTTTGAACTGCCAAGAATAAGACTTGGTCTCCCCAGAACTGAAGACACCACTTCACAGGTCATGACAGTGGCCTAGATGAGTACTTCTCAGAGCCCTTCTTTACCTAGTGCTCACATGCAAATGCAGCCTTAGGGGGCTGCGGAATCTACACGCTTACAGACTGAAGTAACATCTAGAGGGCGCTGGGACCTAAATCCCTCCCAGCCTGAAGAGGCAGAGCCATAGGCCTCACCCCAGCTGGGTGGCTTGGTGCAGGACTGAGGCGGGGCCTCCTCAGCCTCAGGAGTACACTTCCAGACCCCAAGCACTGCAGCATCCCTGATGACACCCAGGCCTCCCAGCAGCACACAGCCACCTCCCTGATGCTTTCAGTAGATCAATTAATCCTAAGAGGCTGAAACGGACCTCAATTATCCCACACTAAGGGTAAATGCAGTTTCTTAACAGAACTAACAACACGGATGCCTTCCTGTCTCACCTGGGCTGCCATCAGAAATGACAGCTGTGGGACAACTGACACTACATGTTCATGGATGGACACTGCTGGAGACGTTCTGGGCCAGGGTGAAGACCAAGTCTTGGGGACCACTGCAGTCTTCACCAGGTTTTACCACGGGGCAGATGAAAACAACTCCAGTGTTCACCACTAGCTTTGAAGGCGAATGCGGAGGATAGGCCTGGAAGGGGGGTCTCAGTAACCTGTCCAGGCTGATGTCAAACATGTGCTCCTCTCATCTCAGCTCTTGAGTAGCTGGAATGACAGGTGTGTGTCATCGTGCTTGGCTATAGAGATGGTTTTCAGGATGGAGAAGCAGAAATTAACTCCAGGCAAGCAGTGAAGGGGGCAGACAGAGCAGAAATAAGCCCAGAGCAGGAATAAAAAGCTCTGGTTCTGCCCCCAAGATGCATCAAGGGTGGCCACGGGAGATTTGGGTGTCTAGGAAGAGTCAAGGGTTCCAAAGAAGGTGGACCTTGACTTTAGTAATCGCAATATTCAGAGACTGGAGTTGAGGACACCCAGGTGCCAACCAGATGAGCGCACTCTACATCCCACTTCCTGTCTCTGCACACCCTGGTGGTGCCTAATTACATGCCGCCTTGTAATATTTGCTGATGGCCCCTAAGTGTGCATACTTATCTTCCCTAATGGATACAAGCAGCTCCAGGCCAGAGACAGCCACACAGGCTGCATTTCTCTCTCTCTCTCTCTCTCTCTCTCTCTCTCTCTCTCTCTCTCTCTCTCTCTCTCAACAATGATGGGAACAGCCAGGCAGGGCCAGCAATCACAATCAATCCACACCTCCATGGTGGTCTTGCCCAAAGCTGCTTTCATACTATAATAAAGGAGCTGGGGAGTTGCCACGCAGACCCGTACAACATATGGCCCATGACTCCAAAGATTTATTATCCAGCTCTTTGCAGAAAGTCTGCCAACACTTACATTGAGAAGGGAGAAGAAACATCAACAATGAGAGACCAGACACTCCCAGGAGCCTCCGGCCTCAAAGCTGCAATGCTGAGCTCTCTCATTTCTGCACACCCGCCCCAATGCGTCACCAAAGTTGGTCATTACCAGCATAAAACTCTCAAGTCACTTCCCCAATGACTCTGGATGAAATGCAGAAGCATTAACAGACAGGACTTCCTCCGGGGTGCCACGCTAACGTCCTAACTAGGAACAGGTCTCCCGGCTCCCCTTTCCTCTTTTCCCTCTGTGACCACCAGGATTTCTCCTTATACATCTATCTGTTGACGGTGTCTTCCTCACCTAGACCACAAGCTCCTTGAGGATGAGGACTGGGTAGGCGTTATACAGAGTCCCCTAAAGGTCTGATTCACAGTCTACCTGGCAAGTGCTTGTTGACCAAGTGATTTTGCAGACCATAAACAATTAAAAGCACAAAATTAATGGGTGGTAGTGGAAGAGATGCCAAGATGAGCACTTGTACAAAAGCAAGCATGAGAAAACCCAGGAGTCTAAAGGGCAAACACGCAGCTCAGACAATGAAATCTGTGACGCCCTTGGGTGTAATGGCAGAGACCCAGGGGTGCCATTCTTGCCTTAACAGAACCACAACCTTCTCTTCCTCTGTGTGATGCATGAGATGAAAACCTAATTCAGTGAAGGGTCAAGTCATTCTCATATTTAAAAAAGGATTACACTAACTGGTGCTCGGAACTCTAAGCAATTTAGTGAGATTATTCTCCCAAGTTATCTAAGCTCCTTTCTGGTGTAACCATCAGTTGTTAGGAAGATCTGACTTACCCACATCACTTAGCTCACCAACAGTACAGGATAAGGTGAGTGTCAGGGTAAAACCCCGGCTTCACAGGCTGTGGGAACACTGCACTAACTGGATAATTAAAAGATAAAAATCACAGTGAAAGAGCTTTCCAAAGAGGGAAGTGGCAGCTCCAACAAGTGACTGCAAAGGGTCCCAGGAGCACAGTGCTCACTCTGGTGACACACAACCCACCTGTGCTTTCTACTGGAGCACAGAGACAGCACAGAAGACAAAAGTGGCCAGCTGTGTGGACGCTGTGTGGACGCTGTCTGGAAACTGATGACCCGCTTTTTAATATTCTTATTCTGGGATCTCACCCTTCAGACAAACAGAAAATTCTTCGTAACTTCTGATTGCAACACACTTATTCCTGTTCCCATTGCAATCTAATTTCATTTCTTTGGAAAATGAGCAAACTCAGGGCAGCTATGAACTTTTGCTCTTCATAATAGACAAGCCTGGCAGGGAATTTAGCTTAGTAGCATAAGTGCCTGCCTGGCAAAGGCGAAGTTGTGAGTTCGATTCCCAGTTAAAAAAAAATAATAATAGACAAGCCTGAGGCGATTACTGTAGAACCCTTTTCAATGCTACCTAAGACTAGGTGTTTTGCTTTGGTTTGGCTTAGTAGTACTCAGAACTGAAGCACAGCCTTTGAACTGAATTACACTCCCAGCACTTTTATTTTTATTTATTCTTTAATTTTGAGGCAAAGCCTTGCTTGATAAGTCACTAAATAACTTAGGCTGGGCTTAAACTTGTGGTTCTCCTGCCTCAGTCTCCCAGAGTGCTGGAATTACAGGCATGTGTCCCCATGACGGGCTTGAAGCCAGTATTTTTAAGACCAGATTCAGTTACATTGGAGTATACAAGGCAGCAAGTGATTTCTGCGATGATGACTATAAAATATGCCAATAAATGACCAAAAGACAAAAGCCAGGCAGATGTGGACACCCTTGGAATATTTTGACCATTGTATCTCAAACAGCATGTGAAATTTATAAGATCAAAACAATGACTGCCTGGAATTCCCTAGAGCTGAAAAAGAATGCGCTTTGTGGATGATGCTTTCCAAAGCAGGCAGAGTGCTTCCCAGCCACGT